TCTATATATACTATATAAATATTATCGAGTAAGCCCTTTAGCGCTTCGTTAATATATACTTAGAATAAGATAGATATATTTATTAAGCTAAAGAGTATTACTAAATATTCAAAATACCTATATTGCGTACGAAACGTAGTTTTCTAGCGATCTTCTTTCTTAATTAGAATCTAATAGTACGCGTCTCGTAAGTCTAACTTAGTAAAGACGTATATACTACTTATACGATCTAATATCTTAGGGATTAAAGAAAGAGAATATCGGTTCTTCTTAGTAATCTAATTTAACTTACGATAGTCGATATAAAGTCGTAGACTACTATCCGACTTTAGAATAAAGAGAATAAGTATACTCGCTAGCGACTCGCTATATTAAATCTAGCCCTTAGCTATTATTATATCTAAGTACTTTCGAAGAACGAATAGCTTATACGCGCTTAAAGAGTAGATAGGCCTATAGAGTATCTTCTCGTCTTCGATAATAAAGATTAAATATCGCGTACGTACTTCTACTAGAGAGGGGTTCTTACTTAGGTTTCCGAATATCTTTATAAACTTACTAAAGCGAGAGTCTAGCTCGATCTTCTACTCTATACCCCTAAGTAGGATATTAGTACTCTTTAGAATCTCGTTAACGACTAGTTATATAAGAATCGTATCTATATCTAGGCCTTTCGTCTATTTCTCGAAGTCTTTAAGAAATAACTAGATTATACGCGACTTACTCTTAAGTCGATACGACTATATACTAAGACGCTAGTTAATTTATAGATTTATCTCGAGTAGCTAATCGTAATCGAGAATTATATCGTAATTTATAATCTTCGTTATAAGATACCGTTAGTATATCTTTTTAGTTCTCCTTCGCGAGTCGATTATAGATATCTCGAGATAGTATTCTCTATATATTCGGATTAACTATCCTTCGACTATATATACGTATATCTTTAATAGAGTTAGATTAAGCTTATACTTCTTAGTTAGTATATATAAAAAAAAACTCGCCTATATCTCGCTATTAAGTAGAGCTTTTACCTTATACTTCTCGTTAGAAGTATTAATTTCTATCTCTAGAGTTAGTAAGCTTTTCTCTAACTATACTTTATCTTCGGATTATACTACTTAATTTTTATCTAGTTTTAGCGCTACTATAGTACTTAATAGACTAAATACTAGTTTTTTAAACTCCCCTTCGTAACGTTCTTTTATTTTAATTACGACTTATCTACGTTAGGCCTATTCTTCTTTAGATAGTTAGCTTATCTATAGTCTATAGTCTCGTAGATAAAGTATCTTCTCGTAAAGAGTCCCGTCGAGATTTTACTCGCGAATCTTTACTTTTTTTTCTTCGAGTCTTTTTAGAGCGATTCTCTAGCGGCCGTAGTAGCGGGTTAGTCCGGGCGCGCGTACGAGTCGCGGCCGGCCTACCGTAGATTTAAGCTCCTAGTTAGAGTCGTACCTATCTTATTTAAGAGTTTTAATTAAAGTATCTTTAATACTTTAGGTTTTTAAAGCGTTCTCTCTAGTCGCTATACTAAGACTAGAACCTAGGCTTAGAAAGTAATTATTCGTACGTCGCGTCTAATAATCTTACGAAGCGCGAGTATTAGAGAGTAATAAAGGGCTTACTTTCTCCGCTTATTCTTTATAAGGAGTTCTATATCTTCTTCTAGAAGTTCTATCTAATAAACTAGATCTCGTATTAATTAGATAGATTCTTACTTAAGAGTCGTAAGCGCTTTAAGCGCTTCTCTCTTATAAATATCTATATTCTTAATAGTATTCTTATACTAGATAAGAAATATATTCTATAATAGAGATATTAGTACTTCTTCGTAACGATCTCGATACTAGTTAATTATCGCCTAATCTCTAAGATAGTTAGCTATAATTCGAATACGATACTTCTAGTTCGGGATAATATTACTCGAGATAGTCTTAAAAATAGTTTACTAGCTACTATCGAAGTCTCTTAATTCTTAGATATTTTTACTACTAAATCCTTTCGATTTAGTAATTCTAAGAATCTAGTATAACTTCTTTCGATCTTAGTCTCTAGACGATACGCTTCGAGTTCGCTTATATATCGATAGCGTCGTACCTTCGACCTCTATATATTACTTCGAAATATATCTCGTAGCTTCTTCTTCTATCGTCTAGATCTTTTTTTCTAGGCGTTTTCGTTTTAACTACTTTTAAAGTTAGGCGTATCTCTTAAGAAGGGCCGCTACTTATAAGATAGAAGTAGATTTAGAGAGTCTCGCTTAGGCCTAAGTCGTATCTAGATCGCCTATGACTTCTCCGCTAGATAAGCTATTCTCTAGAGTCTTAATTAACCTCTTTATATATTAAGCTAGGGTCGACGACGACTCGTCGGGATTAGGCGTCGCTCTAGTAGATAGATCTACTCTCTTTAGCCTTATCGTTATATAGATAGCTTATCTCTATATCGCTTACTTCGACCGATTCGGGATAATACTTCGAGAATATTAGGAACGCCTAATAGGAATAGATAGAGTATAGCGATAAGTCTTTAATTAGTATTAAGTACTCCTTAATCCTATAGTTATATACGACTCGAAGTATAAGAGAAGGAAAGCTCTCTTATACGGGGCGTATATAGTTTATATCTCTTAGCTTCTGTCCGAATAGCCGAGGGATATAAGTTGTCGGCAGTTGGTATCGGCATTCGTGACACTAGCCCAGGGCCTCCTGGGCTAAACTGCCACAAATTGAGCCTATGGGTCCCCACAGCATCCTAGGTAGGCTGTGGGCCCTACTAGCGTAGCCTAGATGCTATAGGCTCTTCGCTATATTACGTAATTATCGTAACTTCTTTAATTTATAATTATAAGTACGATTTTAACTACTACTACTAGTACTAGGCTATAGCTAGCGTATAATAGGGTATTAGAGTATATCTATATCGAAAATCTTAGGTTTATTAGCTAATATTAAATTATTAGTAAGCTAGCGTAGATAGTTAGCGCGCTATAACGTACCCGAAATACCCGCTTTTATCGATCCTAGATTAAGCTCTTATAGAAGCTTAGATCTTTAGTAATTCTAGATTAGAATCGGAGTAGAACCGAAGTAGAACCGAAGTAGAATTAGAGTAGGGTCGATATAATATCGATATAGAATTAATTTTTTATAGAAGAGTATATATATACTATAAATATAATATACGATATTGTAGCTAAGTAGTAATAATAACGCTACTTACTATCCTCTAAAAAGAAAAACTCTAACGATACTACTAGTAGTATATAGATATCTACGCCCTATAGAATCAATATAGTATTAATATTATATTAATACGGTTTTAAAATAGTACGATTCGGAGCTATGTATAGATTTAAGTATATTAAAACTAAATCGACTTTATTTACTTAAATCCTAAGTTTTAATTATATCTACTAGTTCGAGTATATCTATATACTATTAAAATCTAGTATATATTAAATTTAGTTAGGGAATTACTTTAGAATCGATTCGAGACCGATAGAATTTAAAAAGTTAATATAGTCTATTTTAATATTCTATAGTTTCGAATTAGTTTCGAACCTTAATATACTATACTAGTCTTCTATAAGAGTAGAATAGATTTAAGATCCGATCTAGTTTAGTAAAGATCTAAACTAGGTCTAATCTAGGTCCGGATCGGATCCTAGATCGAAGGCTTAACCTATTAATTTTCTTAGATCCGGATCGGATCGGGATTACGTATTAGCTATATACTATAATAATAAAAAAAAAATTAATAAAAATAAAAAAAAAAAATAAAAAATAAAAAAGAGTACTCGAAATCTATTTACTAAAGATACTCTTTTTTCTCTTTTTTATTATTATTAGAACTTCTTCTTTTTTAAATTCTAGATAATAGCGATATTATTACTACTCGACTATAACGCTATATTCTATATTTCTAGTAGTATTTTCGAGATTTATATCTATAATTTATAAAAATTACGTAATATAAAAATTAAAAAAAATTAAAAAAAATTAATTTTTAACTAAGTTAAGAAGTAATCGTCGATAGTCTATAGCGATCTCTATAGCGATCTCTTATACTAATCCTCTTATAATCCTCTCGTAATCTACGATACGTTATTTAGCCTATAAGTAATCCTATAGTAATTCTTAAATAGGATCGGATTACTATTAGAGTAGAGTTAATATAATATCGATATAGAATTTAATATAGAATTAATTCTTTATATAAGAGTATATATATAACTATAGTGGGACCGTATCGGATACGTACTACATATATGCCCGCCTAATAAGGATTAATCTAGTATTAATATCATAGGATCGATACTATATCGACCCTACTCCGATCCTACTCCGATCCGGATCGAGAATCACTATAGAATCACTTATAGGCTAAATAACGTATCGTAGATCACGAGAGGATCACGAGAGGATCACTATAGAGATCGCTATAGAGATCGCTATAGGCTAACTAGCGTATCGAGGATCACTTCTTAACTTAGTTAAAATTTTAAAAAATTTTAAAATTT